GCAATTCTCTCTGCCAGTTGAGGGCCCTAAATTTTTCAGTGTGCTTCATTGGTCCTAATCACCCTCTTTGCTTCTCTGCGTGAGCTGCTCACTCCAGCAAGTATAACAGGATTAACGTCTTCACAGGTGCAGGGGCAGGGCTGGCCTTCTCCTCCCCAGCCCCTTTGATTTGAGAGCAAGTAGATTCTTTCAAGTGGAGGTGATGGCATGGCGGGCCTGGAGAAGGGCTGGCAAGTTGGGATTTTACTGAGGGTGAAAGAGCCTCTAAGCCCTGGTGGGAGGCTGCTGAAAGGATCGTCAGCGAGGGATCTGCCAGGGCCACCTTTCCTGAGAGACAGAAAGGAATATGAGAAGAGAACTTTCTTAAACTATGAGGGAAGACAAAGACAGTCAAAGAGAAGCCCTCGACAGTACCCACGCTAGCTATATTAAGAGAGTTCAATTACACAATTTGATTCATCAATATCTCAATAGCCAGCCCTGATTAACTCAAGGGGCGGATGCCAATTTTCCCTGTGCTTGCAAGAGAGGGCAATTGTATGTGGCTGGAACGATGGCACTTAGCATCAATTAAAGGCATGTCTCATTTTTCTAGCGGAATGAGGTTTCTGACTTTTAATGGCTCCAAGAAGAGAGCTGTTTTTCTCCAAGCAGAATGCAAAGTTGGAATTAAATGCCAAAGCAAGCGGCAGGCAGGAAGCAGAACGCTTGCATTTCCAGGCCCAGGGGCCCTTGCATCCCAGGCGCATGATCCCACCACTGGACTTCACTGCACGAACCGCACACTCGCAGGTGCCCACTGAGGTCATCTGTTCTTACCCACCCACATGCCTCCGTCCACGCTGTCGCCTACACCATCGATGTTTTCTGGGTTTTATCTCTCAAGGAATAAGTGGTGGAGCGGCTCGCCGGAACTTCACCGAGTGTGGAGGAGAGAGGGAGAGGAGTTCTGGAAGCATCTCAGAAGGCGTGACTACAGCCTTCCCCAGAGCCAGTGTCACTCAGAAGCCATTACCAAAAGCCACTGGGGGGTGTGCAGCTCTGAGCTTGCTCTTGTTCTACAGTGATGCTGTCTCGCAAGCTGACTCCTGGTTCCTAGCCAGTTATTGTTACTCATGAAGACCTTTGTAGAGGTAGGGTGAGAGACTAGGGGTCATCCTAGTACAAGGCTCAGGTACTATCCACCCTTTGAACCTTGTCCGGGTACAGGCAGACCAATTTTCTAAGTATACACCAGTTAGGATGGATTACAGCATGGCAGGTATTTTCTTGATCCAATGTCTATCTTTGGGTTGAGAAATGCATTGAACCTATCCCTCTAGGTAGAGGGATAAACAACATCCCTATTGAAGGGGAGAAGCAGCGAACCAAGCTGTGTGTTGCCGCCGGGAATAATCTTTCCATCCACTGAGCAAGTCAGGAAGGAGGCTGAAGAGCACCCCAAGGCCCAGGCTGCTGACTGCTGTGACCGATGCTCATCTGGCCTTTCATTTTACCCTGGCAGGAAGGGGATTCCCAACTGCTGCCCCAGGTGTGCACGAGAGATGCTTCCCCAGTTCAGAGTAAATGGAGGAGAAGGAGGAGACTGGGGTGAGTTTCTCAGGAAGCTAATTAGATTCAGTAGAAAGAACTGTCCATTTATTCTAGGACTAGATCCTTCTTACTGTGTGTGTGTGTGTGTGTGTGT